GCGTGGGGCACAGCGAGGGGTGGGGTCCGCGCGGGTGCCGGGCCGCCAGAGAGGGTCTGCTCTGCGAGCTAAGGGATGTCGGGATTTCGGGGAGCGCTCGCAGCTCCTCTGTGTCCTCCCTGCTCTGGGCCGGCAGCTGCTCCCACCCCAGCGCCGACGGAGCAGCTACAACCACCCGGGCGGCGGGAGGGACCCCTCCTCGGGCCAGCCCAGCCCGGCTCACCTGTCCGCTTGCTGCAGAGCCGGTCCTTGACGTTGTCGGCCTCGTGGGAGAGGAATTCAATGAGCTCGTCCTCGTACTCCTCAGCGATGCTCTCACACTGCAACGGGAGCCGCCCGCGGGTCAGCCGGAAACCCCGCGGGGCCAGGCGACACCGACAGCGCCCGGGGGAACCCAGCGGCGGGCCCCGCACACCCCCCCCCGGCCCAGGAGCAGCCTCCTTCCCTCCAGCCCCAGGCAGGCCCAGGGGAAGCAGCCGGTGGGACCAGCTCATCCCTAGAAGGGCCGCAGCCGCCCAACACAGCGGGTGCCGCCACCCAAAACCTGCGCTGAGACCTGACAGCCGCCACAAGGACCCAGTCCCCGCACGCACCGCAAACTTCAGGCTAGAAGCCACGTCTCCGTCAATTTTGACCCCAGAGAGGTCCATCTTGGTCCCGTCGTGGGAGATCACCCGGATGTAACTCTTACGGTGCGTGGACGGATCCACTTTTTCCCCGTATTCCTTCATCTTCTCGCACACCCGCTCCAGCAGCTCCGTCAGATGTGCCTCCGACCGGGCGTAGGGCACCTGCGGCACGAGCGGGAGATCAGCGGGGTCAGGCCTTTGAGCGTGAGAGCGGAACGGGAACGCTGGGCCAGCGCCTTTCCCTGGGAGCCGGGGAGTGACGAGAAAGGGTCAGACGTCTCCACGGACGCCCTGGGAACGCCGCGGGGCTGCACTGGCGATAGGAAGCTGAGGCACGGGAGACGGGGCTCACCCAGCCTGCGCAGGGCACCTGGAGCGGGCCCGATCCCTCCCTCGCCTCCCGCAGGCAGGTCCCTGCAGGGAGGCCTCTCACCTCCACGACCGACTGGCTGCCGTCGGGGTTGATCCGGAAGGAGCCCATCTGGATGGTTTTCCTGGGGTCAACCTGGGCTATCTCCCACTCCAGCTCGTCCACCAGCGCCCGGCACGCTGTGGGGGACGCCGGTGTCAATGGCCTGGAGCTAACGGCCTGACCCCACACCAGCCCCCAGCACTGACAGACCCGCAGCTGCCCAAAGCCGCTGGGAGAAACTGGCGTAACCGGTGCTGCCGGCAGACGGGGACGGCAGGTCTGCGGGGAGCAGGTCACCCTGGGGCCCCTCAGGAACCTGTCCCTGTCCCCGAGCGGGGTGAGCGTGGACGGGCAGCAGCGGCTGCAGGACAAGCAGGTCCCAACGGC